TAGTGGGTCACTGGTGTGTTCTCAGCATTTCCGCTGATGTCTTCGTTTCACAAGAGTATAAGAGGCGCTACAGAGTGGTCAGCAATACTAAACGCACAATAATCATTCGTAGGCACTATTCGCCAGTGGACCTAAACAGTTGTGCTCGATCTGGTCGACGTTGGATATCTGGTAAACGATATACCGTGGTCTCCTCCTCTTTTTACACGCGAACTCAACTCGACAACGTGCCACGCACGAAAACGATAAGACAACGCCGAATCGTAACAATTCCGCAAATTCTTTTCATCGCTCTACCCATACGATCGATGTAAATGAAGTATAAAAATATATATATATATCTTGATGGAACGAAGAAATGATTCGACGACGATCTCGATGATTCCTCGTTGCGACAGATCTGCATACACGTCTAAATAGAAATGTTTGCACGTTCCTCGAGGTTGGAAACGGTTCGACGCTCGGGACTAAAGCGATCCACGGATCACTTTGATCCTCCGCGTTAATCGAACTACCGCTTCGAGGAACGCGTTCAGAGGCGACGAAGCATGACTCGATGATCGCCGTTTGGACTTGTTGATGAGGAGAAAACTGCTTGAGTCCACTGCGACGACGATTCGCGTCACCCAGAACCGCAAGGTTGATCGAAATTTCACATCGAGAGTCGAGAGAAAAAAGATAGAGCGAGAGTAGAGAAATTTGTAAGGGGAACGATTCGAAGATGATTTTTGATTCTGGGTGACGCAGAGAGGTCCTTGCAGGATATGAGGTGCGAGCCAAGTGCATCGACTATGAGGTAACACGAGGTTTGTGAATGAATATTATATTGTCACGATGGTTCCATCTAATGTGCAGAGCGAGCGAGGATGAAATTTGGCGAGCAGAAAACCTCGACGAACCAATGTGAGAGAGAGACCGCTATCGTGAGATATGCCGGTAGTTAGGCAACAGAGAGACGAATTTAATGACGCAGCCAATGAGGATGAATCGTCCTGGGATGATTTTTGGGTAAATTTCACCTCGCTGCTCCGGTCGCCTAACTCTAGAGGCGGGGATCAACGCAAGGGGCATGGCCTTGATTATTCTTCTTTGTGAACCAAAGTTTGAGAGGAATTTTTTTGGAATTTAGTCATTTTGTATTTCAAAAATTCGGAGATATTTTCTTTGCAACCCTGGCGATCCTTGGAATTTAACAATATTCAATTTCCACATGAATTTTCTAATCAAAATTCGGAGACAAATTTTCGTCGCGAACTGACGTTCTTTAGAATCCAACGATATTCCATTTGCATACGAATCTCCCGTTCAAAATTACTACAAAAATTCCGAAAATTACTAAAGAAATTTTCTCCCTTAAAATCCTCAGAATCCAACAATATCCCATTTCCACGCGAAAGCACAGAAACAGCTAAAATTTCGATCTACCCAAAACTGTTCAACGAATCTCCTCCAAAATTTCCAAAAAGAATTACTGCTTTCCTAGAATCTCCTTTCCCAAAATTCCCCTCGAAGGTACACCGTCCTTTTTCCTCCGAGTCAAATAGCCTCGCAGCCTCCATCCACGCTGAAGTTCCACCGAAATCACCGAGCAACACCTCCCCATGGCCCTCCCTTGAGGGCGTACATTGTGTGAGCGTGCCGTAAACACAGGCGTTTGTCGAGGAAACAAAAGGTAGCGGCACGGATGGAGGAGCATCCGGGCTGTTGACTCCGCGCGAAACAAGGGGTGTAACGTCTTAATAAGTGAAATAAAGGGAGTGCGTGTAACGCGGGGCCACGTCGTGAAGCACCTCTTGAAAAAAGAACGAAAGGGCTGATGAACAGAACCTCTATATAAATATATGTATACACGTACATATATACATATACATATATAACAAGGTGGAGAAAGAGAGAGATAGGGAGAAGAAGTTTGTGCAAGAACGAGGTTGGTTTATGGGTTATGAATTCAGGAAACGTAAACACACAGAGAGAATTCACAGAGAGAGAGAGAATAATGAGTGAAACAGAGAGAAAGAAAGGGATTATTCGAGGTGGAAAACAGAGAGAGAGAGAGAGAGAGAGAGAGAAATGGATGTGTATATATACATGTAATATATATATATATAAAGTGAGAGTGAAAGAAAGAGAAATAGAGATAGACAGAGAAGTGTGGGGTTGGTTGGACGTAAAATTTAATAGGAGATATAAAAGTACTGTCTGTCGTGGTCCATGAAGCGCTGAAGAGGGCCGGAGGTACTTACCCTGTGCATCATACTTACTGGAAAAGTTCCTCGTCGCCAACATGGTCGTCAGAATAGCGCCCTGCGGACAAAAAAAATAAAGCGACCACGATTATTCTCTTGCGTTAATCGAGAGCAAAGAAACGACGCTTCTTCTCTACGCTCGAGAGGATGTTGTTCGAGCAACGGTGAAAGTTAATCGCGCGTTACAACCTCTTACGGTGATCTTTTCTTTTCTTTTTCGTCTTTTCTCCGAGATTTTCTTTTCGCCAATTCGGCGAGATTAGGAGGGTTCCGGGTGAAATTGGGATCGTTTAGAGCAACTGTTTTCTTCTTTTGGAAATGTTTTATTCGGAGTGTTATTGTTTGTTTGTGAATCGAAACGCACAGTGGTTTTACGAATCTTCGTGGTTTCTTGAACGAATTTTTCTTGGTAATTATGGTTGCGTGTGAAATAATAGGCGATTCTTCAAGCTTCAGCTTGACGTAATAGAAAAATCGGGAACTCGTTAATTATACCGAGTGTGCATTTGTAACGAACATCTAAATTACTTCCTCTGTTTTTCAAAGTAAGAAGAGATGACTAAAAGAGAAGCTTATGTGATGATAAAGAAAAGTCTCCTCAAGAACATCGAAAATTTTGTTGTACATTAACATCTGTTTCTTATAATACCATATACTGTAAATTCTCTACAAGTGTCAGTCAGTTTGGATTCTACAAGTGTCAGTATAGATGGTCCTACGCCTATGTTATCCTCGCTCGCTGTCAGTCAAACGTGTAACGCTACACCACTCGGTTTCTTTTACGAGATTTCACGGCTCGACAATTCATAATAGAAAAATATTTACTTTTTTTCATCTGAAATTTTGTTTAACATGTTGGTGAGATTTTTCTGATGAAAATGATATCAAACACGATATAATTTGAACAACATTTACTTATTAATACTTATTCAGTGATTAATTTAACGTCGGCCTACCTCCACGTAAAACAAAAAATGTAGGGCCGATTCTACAAGTGTCAGTCAAATGTAGGACCGATTCTACAAGTGCAGTCAAATGTAGGACCGATTCTATGTACAAGTGTCAGTCAAACGGCAGGCCAATTCTCCAACTGGCAGTCAAACGGTAGGCTGACTCTATGTAATGTAATACAGGGCTTCTGTTTTATCTCAATACAGTAAAATATCTGGCGTGACAGTGAACGTGTTAATAAGTAAATGTTGTTCAAATTATGTCGTGTTTGATGTCATTTTCATCAGAAAAATCTCATCGATATGTTAAGATAAATTTCTGGATAAAAAAACGTAAAATTAAAAAAGTTGGTATTTAAATCGCTTGGTTGCCTCGACTCACGTTTCATCCTTATTCACTGTCCTTGTCTACGTTCGGCAAACTACAAAGGCGGGCGCGAGGCTCGAAAACGTAGTGCCTGACTCTACAAGTGTCAGGTTTAGCTTCCTTGCGGACTGACACTTGTGGAGAATTTACTGTATTACATTTAATAACAAAACGAGGTCAACTACCGACGACATCGCGAACAATGTAAACATAATGAAACGAAGGGTGAAACGAAGTATCGAAAAGATCTCGACAACCTTAGAACGATCCTGAATACAGCTTCAAGATGACTTTTTTAAAATTATAAACACTTTCAGTCATGTTTCCTTACATTCAATATACAGTAAAAATAATTAAAACGTTCGTTACAACTGAAAGATCCTCTGCAACCAGCCCGATACCTGCAAGCCAGAAGAATCTAAATGGAAAAGACTGTGCAAACACACGACGTAACGCGATCTCCATCAATTCCACCTGGCTACGAGCAACAAGTTTCGTCGAACGATTAAAAAAACCCATAGAATTAATAGGAATTTTATTCGATATCGAATACAGATATTTCCATCAAAGAATCACACTCAAAGAAGAACATATTGAAACGTTTAACTGTACCTCGGCCATGCCAATTCTTCCACGTACACACACACACACACCTGCACATACCTACACCTATACATAGATGTCGTACGTCGGTTAAGTGCAGCTTCTTTGTACGGGCTCAACTGAAACTTCCGGTCGTCGGTATTGCACACGTTTATTACACGGTGAACTTTAGACCCGAGACACACACTTGATCGTCGGTTCTCCGACGATAATTTCTTACGCTCGAGAAATTTCTACTCGTTATCAGTATTCCCGTGGGCACGATCCACGGACACGTTCGTCCACCGGCGTCAACCCGGTCGATAGATTAACGTTCCGCCATTAATTCGCGTCCCGAGTGTCTTTTATCTAAATTAAACTCTCTCTCTCCCCCCTTCTCTATCTTTCTTTCTCTCATTCTCTCTCTATCTTTCTTTCTCTCTTTCTCTCTCTATCTTTCTTTCTCCCTCTATCTCTCATTATCTCTCTCTCTCTATCTTTCTTCTCTCTCTATCTCTCATTCTCTCTCTCCTTCTCTATCTTTCCTTCTTTCTCTCTATATCTTTCTTTGTCTCTCTCTCTCTCTCTCTCTCTCTCTCTCTGTCTCTGTCTCTCTCTATCTATCTATCTATCTTTCTTTTTGTCGTCGAGAGCGGCGTTACTTCGTCGCAGACGTTATTGCACACGGCAGGTATATACCGGTGTCCTTCGTGCGGCTTTAAAAGCTGAAAGAAACGATATGTTTTATTCATCGACCTCTCGCAGATGGGAAATGGCACAGCGTTTCCTTTCTTTTTTTTCTTTCTTTTTTAATGCATGCCCTCTCTCTCTATCTCTCGTCGCGTTCCATCACGTATATATGTAGCACCGTGGATACGTTTCGATAATTGGAAGAGCTTGAGAACAGGTTCGGGATGAAATTTATATTAACGAATTGCACAATACGTGGATACCTATTCGGTATTGTCATCCTCAAGAAATAAAGCAGATTTCTCCAAAGAGCGCTGGTTTCTCATTTCTATTCATAAGATACGATAATGGAATACTCTGCTCGAGAATGTTTTCAACGAAATTCCAGGGTTTTTAACGAGCACTAAAATGTGCAATTTTCACGAAAAGCGAGAACACTTGCGTTTACCTATTTTCAGTATTTATTTGTACAAATAATGATTTTTTAATTTCTTACCAAAGATACTACCACTATTAACCCTTCTACAACTAAATGCGACGAATATACCCCACTTCTCCCAAATCACCATGAAAAAAAATTTCAAAAAAGAAAACCAGAATTCATTCACGAAAGAAGAAAACTGTTAAAAAATCTGACAATTCCTATTACTGAACCAAAGGATCACAAGTACATACTCCGTTGTTCTATCCAGATCCTCGAATATCCCACACACTTTCCCTCCCCGTCGAAAGATACATTTCAATTACCTAACTAAACGATTAAATAACAACATGACAAAGGCACACACGGCGTGGTTCGAGGGTGAATTTCTCGAAAACCGGAAGCGAGCAGGGTGAGAAACGGGAACCGGAGGAAAAGAGGGAGAGAGAGGATTACGACAAATACGAGCGAACGTAGGCAAACAAAGCTAATAAGAGAGGCGCCGATACAACGTTTGACGTATCGTTCGAGCATCCAGAAAATATTTACGACAAATATTTGCCAGCAGAACAATCGATTTCGATTAGAGTGGGGCTGTTGTGTGTTTCTATTTTCGTAGAGTTGCGAATGACATACGCACACGTACACATGCACACAACGGTGTGCTTGTAACACGCATCGTGTATTTAAGTTGCGAAAATTAAATGCGTGGTCGACCCGACCGGTTTGCGACCGTAACAGGGAAACGGAGCCGGTGTGTTGCTGCTCTCTTTCCATCTTTTTCCCATTAAATATTCATGCGATATCCGCGTACTACGCCGCGCTTCAGTTAGGTTTCTCGGTGCGAGTAAAGCAGTTCGCGAATGTTGATTGTGCATGCGCGACGTGTGTATCTGTATTGTTTCGTTCGACGAGAGAATCAATTCCTTCGTTTGATTGGAACAATTTCACGGATTAACTTGGTGGGAGCCTTTGTGACGCGGTATTGTATGAATAGGGAATTTTCATGTTGATGCGTTTCGTGATTTTTCTGCTCGCGTGTGTTGGCTTTTCGCGAATCGTGATTAGAGTGAATATTCATTTTTTGGGGGGGAGAGTAATTTTTGTGGATTTTCGGTGTTGCGAGGTGTAATCTTTGGAAATTACACGGTTTGGGAATATTAATTTTGGGAGTGTCTGATTTTGCGAGTTACCGTCTTTGCGAATGTTAATTTTACCAAGTTTCCATTTTTGCGAATGTTAATTTTTCCAAGTTTCCATTTTGCGAATATAATTTTCCCAAGTCTCTAATTTCGCAAGTGGTCATTTTTGCGAATGTTAATTATCCCAAGCTTCCATTTTTGCGAATGTTAATTTTACCAAGTTTCCAATTTTGCGAATATAATTTTCCCAAGTCTCTAATTTCGCAAGTGGCCATTTTTGCGAATGTTAATTTTACCAAGTTTCCATTTTTGCGAATGTTAATTTTCCCAAGTCTCTAATTTCGCAAGTACCCACTTTTGCGAATGTTAATTACCCCAAGTTTCCATTTTTGCGAATGTTAATTTTACCAAATTTCCAATTTTGCGAATATTAATTTTTCCAATTCAAATTTCGCAAGTGCCCATTTTTGCGAATGTTAATTTTACCAAGTTTCCATTTTTGCGAATGTTAATTTTACCAAGTTTCCAATTTTGCGAATATTAATTTTTCCAAGTCTCTAATTTCGCAAGTGCCCATTTTTGCGAATGTTAATTTTCCCAAGTTTCCATTTCCGTGAATATTAATTTTCCCAAGTCTCTAATTTCGCAAGTTCCCATTTTTGCGAATGTTAATTATCCCAAGTTTCCATTTTTGCGAATATTAATTTTCCCAAGTTTCCCTTTTAGCGAATATTAATTTTCCCAAGTCTCTAATTCCGCAAGTTCCCATTTTCACAAATATTAACTTACCCAAGTCTCCAGTTTTTGCAAATATTAATTTCCCCAAGTTCCCATTTAAACAATTCCCAAAATTCCAACACAAAAATTTTCCAAAAAACAATATTTAAATCGGTACAACTGAAAACC